TTTCGCGCTAAATGTTTCTTGAGTCCTTGGTGAGTCTTTAAGGTCCTTTTACACTTGTAGCACGTAGTTGAGGCCTTCTTTTTAGGACGGCCAACCTTCTTTGGTGGTGGCTGGGGTACTTTCGGGTGTGTCACCTTCTTCCCGTTGCGTAGCGCTGGACCCATCTTGAATTCCGCCGCCGATTACAGAATGAACTCACAGTGCATACTAGTTGGCCAATTGGTCTCAAACATTTAAGTACTGAAATCTCAAGCAATCTTTTCTGCGATGTTCCCCTTAAACCTACTCCTAAAAAATGAGTGGGTCGTTTTCGGAAATTACCTGGGGACATCTGAGTGGATATCCACTCAGATAAGAAAATTCCTCCAAGCAGTTTGTAATAGTCACCTGCTCTATCAAGCCATGTAGTACAGGTTCTAGGGTTTAAGGTTTAGAGTACAGTGTACTTGCACTGTTTACATTGAGTAATCAAATGGTAGCGGGAAGGGCTGGTGCCAGATGGGCAGATGCTCCAATTGCAAGAAATGATCAGCCTCGTTAATTGAGGTAAATTTTCTCAATTAAGTTGTCCGACCGTCCCTCTCTAAAACTGGCATGTTGTTAGGTGTGTTAGTGCGCCCAGAGGCCAACATATGCCAACTTGATGCGAATAATCTGTCCGATACACATTAAAGAGCAAACGGGGGAAATGGAAAAAAAAATCCTCAATTAATGAGGCCTGCTTCTCACTCATTCCCGAAATAATGCTGCTGTGAGCTTCATTGTGGGAATTAGATGGCAACATATGGGGCTGAGCCGGTTTTCTTTAGGTTTACGATGCAAGGTTTTTGGGCTTTGCAAACGACATTCTCTGTCGTAAGCGTTCGATATGTACAGTAGTGGTATGAACTGTACAGTCCAGTAAAATCTGATCAACAAAATCGACTGGCACCGTCGTCTCCGCCTCATTTGTCAATCCTCGTCAAACCCTTGAGTCTCTCTTTCCCAGTATGACAATCAAGTCAAGTTCTGGGTCCCCAATCTCATGAGTGAGAACGTTGGTCATACTCGCGCTGCTGATAGCCATCAACGTGGCCTCTGCAACTTCGACACTCAAAGGGGTCAATCCGCAGTCTCGTGTGCTCAAGCTCGAAAGCAACGACGTCTCTTCTCAACGTTTCTTGAGAGCGGCAACGGCCCAAGAGAGAAAGCTTGGTATTAGTTTGTCAGGACTTGAACAAGCCGCAAGCAGTACAAAAACCTGGGCGGCCAAACTCATACAGAAGCTCCAGTTAAAGTGGTGGCAACTGCGCAAGAAGTCCCCAAATGATGTATTTACGAAGCTAAAGCTTCAACAGGCTGGAACTAATCTATTCGAGAGCCCAGGGTTCTCTAAATGGGTCACGTACGTCACAAAGAACAGTAACGAGGCTCCGGAGATGGCGATCTTTTCGACTTTGGCTTTCCACTACTCCGACGACGCATTGGCCAGGATACTACTTACGGCTAAAGAAACGGACAGCACGAAAGATCTTGCAACTAAACTGGAGGGACTTCAGCTAAAGAGTTGGGCTGACGCTGGCAAAACTCCAGACAATGTTTTCAAGTTTTTATCGCTTGAGAAGGCGGGAACAAAGGCCTTTGCAAACCCTCAGTTTGCCAGGTGGACTGACTTCATCAGCCAATCAAAGACGCAAAACGCAGATATGGCTATGTACATCACGTTGAGAACTCACTACAGCGACGAGGCTCTGGCCAAGATGTTCGCGGCAGCTAAAGAAGTCGAGAGTACTAAAACACTAGCCACTAGAATGGAGGGAATCCAGCTTACTAACTGGGTCCATGCTGAAAAATCCCCTGACTACGTATTCAAGACTCTGGCACTCGATAAGATGGGAGCAAAAGGCTTTGAGAATCCTCAGTTTGCCCGGTGGACCGAGTTCATTACTAAAGCCAACACGAAAGACCCCGAAGCAGCCGTTTATGCCACTTTGGGAGCCCATTACAGCGACGAAGCGCTGGCGAAGATGCTTGCGGCGGGTATCAAGGTTGAAAGTACGGAAAATCTGGCCGCTAATCTGCGTATACTGCAGTTCAAAGAATGGGTCAGCCAAGGCAAAACTCCCGAAAGTGTTAACGCTATGCTGGGCCTGGCAACCAACACCGACGATCTGACTAAGAAGGTATCGCGAGATTTCGAGGTATTCTATGGCAAGATCCCGGCAATCGATAGAGCCGGCCCTTCCTCGCCAACCGTATAGTTGGCTATAGCCCAGGTCGCATAACTCGTTATCAGACTCTCCCTGAAAGCGCTTCGAAGTGTATTTTCTTAGACTTGACATCAACTATATTTTTCTGTGCGCGAGATTCTATGCAGTTTGCACTGTTCCTACTCATAACAATACCATTCCAAAAATGAGATGGAGGTGATACATTTTAAGTCGCGAGATTCCACCACGTTCTGGGATAACGGTTATTTCACTTTGGCTTCATCATAGTCGTATTAAGTCAGTTAAAATCTCACAGCACTACCAAGATCAGATACTGAGAGCTACACTAAGTAGCATCTCAACAGAATATTTTAACTGTTTGGATAATTGAAGTAAAATATAGAACCTCTCTCCACTATTAGCTCGGCCCAACACCACTGGTCTAATAGTAGTGGAGTAATCTAGACGTATTTTCCCCCAAACATTTTGATATCCAGACAACCTTACATTTTACTCTATCCATAATAAATCGAAGGTTGAGGAAATATAGCATCTATACTGTATGTGTTCAGAGGCCGGAAACGTCAGAATGCGGGTGTCCGCCTCCGTTCGTAGGTTAGTCCAGCGAGAATTAGGATATCTGTGACGGTTCGTATTATTCACATTCACTCGGATGACCGATAATTTGACTTCGGGTTATCGAAAAATCCGACTATATATGCAGTAACTATTAAACAATAGCTTAGAACTGGACGTCATTTTAGTGAGCTACATGAATGCTATACCGCATATTCTTCTTCACCTTTCTATATCGTTGTCCGATACTTTTCGCTTATTTCACACTGCACAAACAGATTCAGTTGCCCCTTTAACGGATTGAACCAAATTGTTATATTTCTTATAAGCTCCTACAATAAAAGTGATTTTGCCAAGGGGCTTGTAAATTGATAAGGATTTGTACTTTATAGATCTTGTGAAGTTTTCTAACTTACAAACGAAGGTATTTATTTATCTGTATGTCTTCATCTGACGGAAATCCTCTCGCATTCACCTCCTGAGAATTGTCAACATGGGCACAAGAGCTCGCATCGACAGACCGTGTTATCTAACTTGCCCCCATCATCAAGGGCCTTGTTGTCCTCATGCTTCGGCTTCGGCTTCGCCTCTACCTCCCACACGTACTGAATATGCCGTCCACGCACGCCATGACGCGATATAAACCAATCCGTTGGGACACGAAGAAGGAGAAATCTGTTAATATTCAGAAGGGAATATCCAACTATAGTAAATAAGTGAGCGGACTTTTAATTGATGCCTACTTGTATTTCTGAAAGCTCTAGGGGATACCGTATTGGACTTCTAATACATCCAGGGCTCATATTCCGAAGATTCTGTTAGTTCACACTTTAGCTATGAGTACTTCACCACCAGTTTGACTCCACAGTCGTGACATATTTGTCACCAATTCGAACTCCACCGTTGATGTACATGTGCAT